TAATATCTGATGGTAGTTTGTATTTCTGAGGAATCGGTGGTGATATCCCCTTTATCTTTTTTTTTTGCATCTATTTAATTCTCTCTTTTCTTTTTTATTAGTCTGGCTAGTGGTCTATTTTATTGATCTTTTCAAACAAACCAGCTCCTGGATTGATTTTTTTTGAAGGGTTTTTTTTGTGTGTCTATCTCCTTTAGTTCTGCTCTGATCTTATTTCTTGTCGTCTCCTAGCTTTTGAGTTTTTTTTGATCTTGCTCCTCTAGCTCTTTAAATTTTGATGATAGGGTGTCGATCTTAGATCTTTTCTCGCTTCTCATGTGGGCATTTATTGCTATAAATTTCCCTCTAGTCACTTCTTTAAATGTGTCCCAGAGATTCTGGTATGATGTGTCTTCATTCTTGTTGTTTGAAAGAATATCTTTATTTTTGCCCTCATTTCATTGTTTATCCAGTTGTCTTTAAGGAGCAACAAACTTCTGTTTTTTAAAATTAGATCTGTTTATGTTCTGTACTTCATTGATTTTTGATTTCATCTTTAGTACTTCCTTCCTTTTAGTTACTCTGTTGTTCTTTTTTACCCAAGTCATTTTCAAAAATTTATTTCACTGAAAATATATAGGTATTTTTGAGTTGGGATCTCCCTGGTCACTCAGGCTGGAGTGCAGTTGTGCAGTCATGGCTCACTGCAGCATCAAACTCATGGGCTCCAAGTGATCTTCCTATCTCAGCCTCTGGAGTGGCTGGGACTACAGGTATATGCCACCACACCTGGCTAATTTTTTTTATTTTATGTTTTTAGTTTTTGAGATGGAGTTTCACTTTTGTTGTCCAGGCTGGAATGCAATGGTGCAATCTTGGCTCACTGCAGTCTCCGCCTGCCGGATTCAAGTAATTCTCCTTCCTTGGCCTCTGGAGTAGCTGGGATTATAGGCACATGTCACCACCCCCGGCTAATTTTGTGTTTTTAGTAGAGACAGGGTTTTTTCATGTCGGTCAGGCTGGTCTTTAACTCCTGACCTCAGGTGATCAGCCGCCCTCAGCCTCCCAAAGGTGCTGGGATTACAGGTGTGAGCCACCACGCCTGGCCCCACCTGGCTAATTTTCAAAAAAGTTTTATGTAGAGATGTGATCTTGCTTTATTGCCCTCAAGTGATCTTCCTGCCTTGGCCTCCCAAAATGTTAGGATTACAGGCATAATCTGTTGTACCTAACCCCCACAAAAGTTTGTTGTTATGAATTTTTCTCTTATTACTGTTGTGCGTATATCTAACAGTTCCTGTTTTTAAAAAAATCTGTAATTTCAGTTTGTACTTCCTCTTTCATTGAAGAGTCTTTAATAGAAGACCTTTTAGTTTCCAGAGGAAAGCTGTTTTGTTAATAATTTCAACAATTCAGTTTTACTGAATTGTGATCAATGTTATTTATAATTTTATATAACTTTCCAGTATTTCTTGTGTGACCTCTAGTACCTGATTTTCTAAGTGTTTGATGCTTACTTGAGAAGGTATATTTTGTAGTATCAGTATGTAAAGTTTTGATATATACAGGTTGAGCATCCCTCATCTGAAAATCTGAAATCCAAAACTTTGAGCACCAACTTCATGCCATAAAAAGACAGTTCTGCCAGCCATGGTGACTCATATCTATAATGCTCACGTTTTGGGAGGCCAAAGCAAAAGAATCACTTGGGGCCAGGAGTTTAGGGCCACCCTGGGCAGTACAGTGAGACCTTGCCTCTACTAAAACTTAATTTTACCCATGCATCGTGGCTCATGCCTGTAGTACTAGCTACTCAGGAGGGAGGACTACCTGAGCCTAGGTGTTGTAGATTGCAGTGAGCTATAACTGCACCACTCCAGCCTCAGTGACACCATGTCTTAAAAAAGAGGAAAATTCCACACCTGACCTCATGACAGGTCATAGTAAAACGCAGGCGCCCAACACAGTTGATTCCGCATCCCTGGGGAAAGAAAACCTTTCCAGCCTGTTTCATTTGTAACATACCTTCCCAAACACCCAGATTCTCCACGCATGTATATCTGTAAAGAGTAATAAAATGGTATGTGTGTAGGCTGCATATGCCAGTGGCAGGTTTCCCATAATGCCTCATGTGAAGCCCAGACCTATGTGCATTACAGTTTTGTTTTTTGCTTATTCTCTTTTCTGTGGTGTCAAGATACCGTTTAAAATGCCAAAAAGGCCTGCATGATACCTATAGGGTAATTCAGGTATTCCAAAACCTGAAACACTTCTGGTCTCAAGCATTTCAAATAAGAAATACTCAACCTGTTTCCACATGATCCTCATTGGTCATTTTGTTTAAGGCCTCCTCTATCATCACTTTCTGCTCAATTGATGTGTCTTGTACTGAGTAGAATATTGGAGTCTCTTATTTGTGTGTTTATATTTATATATCTTCTATACATCTGTCGTTTTCTTTATAAAGTAGTTGCCATGTTATCTGGTGCATAGATACTCACAATTTTTATGTCTTCATTGTCAATTGTGACTTTTAATATTAAAACGTGCCCCATTTATATTTAATGCTTTTGCCTTGAATTCTATTTTTTTCAGAAGATAGGCCTTTTAAACAATTTCCACTTGACTGAAATATATTTGTTCATACCTTTATTTACCCTTTCTAAATCTCTCTGTATTCAAGAAACATACAGTATGTTCATTTTTATTACTCATACATTTGGCCTCAGCTGTCACAATATTTTACAATTTTATGTGTTGCTTTATTATATTCCTTTTTTCTATGATGTGTCTTCTATGCTCTGTAAAACATTTATTTTCTGGCATTTATGAATATTTACATTTGTTTTAATCCTGTTATTTTACTTGAACCTGAAGTGGGAGGTTGCAGTGAGCTGAAATTGTGCCACTGCACTCCAGCCTGGGCCACAGAGCGAGACTCTTTCTCAAACAAAAAAAAAGTATTAACTCCCGTCAATTAGCCTATACAACAGCATGCTTATTCTGCTTTCCTCTCTCTCTCCCATTTTCCATCCAATTTTTGTTACAGCATGTAACATTTGTACATTTGTCTTACACCTTCACCTTAGTATTTGTTTTTGTAATACATTTGGATATATTTAAGATCCTCACTATAATAAGTTCTTTCTGCCAGGTCTGGTGTGGCTCATTCTTGTAATGCCAGCACTTTGGGAGGTTGAGGCAGGAGGATGGGTTAAGCCCAGGAGCTCAGCCTGGGCAGTATGGGGAGACCTCATCTCTACCAAAAAAAAAAGGCTGGGCATGGTGGTTCATGCTTGTATCCCAGCACTTTTGGAGCTGAGGTGGGTGGATCACGAGGTTAGGAGTTCCAGACCAGCCTGACCAACATGGTGAAACCCCAGTACAAGAATTAGCCGGGAGTGGTGGCATGCACCTGTAATCAATCCCAGCTACTCAGGAGGCTGAGGCAGGAGAATCACTTGAATCCTGGAGACAGAAGTTGCAGTCAGCTGAGATGGCGCCATTGCACTCCAGCCTGGGTGACAGAGTGAGACTCCTGGGTTCAAGTGATTCCCCTGCCTCAGCCTCCCGAGTAGCTGGGATTACAGGCATGTGCCACCTCTCCCGGCTCGTTTTGCATTTTTAGTAGAGATGGAGTTTTTCCACGTTGGTCAGGCTTGTCTCAAATTCCCCATCTTGAGTGATCCACCTGCCCCAACTTTCCAAATTGCTGGGATTACAGGCGTGAGCCACTCTGCCTGGCCCAATTTTTTCATTTCTAAGGTAATTTTGCCTTTTTTCCTCCATTTCTTTTTTGAGTCCAGTCCTTTTAGTTCTTCCTTCTAGTAAGAATTTCTGATTCATGGTGGAGTTTTAAATATCCCCATATGTTTTTGTGTATGTATTTATAGTTGGAGTATGGTCATAATGTTTTCTTCTGCTTCATGGTGGGTTTTTTTTGGTAGTAATTTTATGGATTTGTTTCCTTCCTTCCTCATTTTTGTGCTGTTTTGTACAATTTCTAGCAATGGCTTCTTTTTCTGCCAGTGTAATAAAAGTCCAGATTCTTTAGTAAGTTTGGTGTGTATGAATAATATATATCTCTTTCAACGTTTTATTTTGATTTTTCTTACAGGACCCGAATTTTCTTTTGCTTCTTTTCACCTTCACCACCCAAGTGCCAAATGATGCCTCTCCCTTCTTTTTCTGTATATTTCTCCCTGAGCTTTGCTTTTGAAGACTGTTAGTTCAATAATGTGTACTTTTAAGTCCCTGCCCTATAAACCTTTGACTGGACACTATAGTAGTTTCAGATTTAGGGTGGGCTTCCTTAGCCTGCATTTGCCAGAAAGCCTTGCAGCATTAGCAGGGTGGGCACAAGTATGTGAGATTGCTCCCCGAGATTTACACATTTATGTTTATTGCAAATGTGGGTATGCTCTATTTTCAAGTTAGGCTGAGGGTGTGTTTTGGTTTAGTTTTATCTATTTTAGTTTTAGTTTGCCACTGTCATCAGTTTCCTTGGAAGTCCCCAGTGATAAATAACTAAATTTTCAGAATTGAGCAGTTATTTTCCAGCTTGAAGGGAAAAACTAGTAAAACATATTTTAAGGTGTTACATGATCAACTGTGAAAATTAAACTCCATTCATAATGACAGTCATATTCAGTACTGTTGTAGCACTTTGCAGTTTTGCTAACACTTCCATATGCTTTTTCTAAGGTAATCTCAAAAAATGTGTTTCACAGATGAATAAATTGTGACCTAGATTGAATTCCTGATGCCATGCAGCAATCAAGTGATAGGACCAACTTAAAACTCAGGTTTTCTCATTTAGACTCTGTCTTTTCTGCTGTACCTCATTACTTAAGCTTATTGATTTCACGCTGTGTTCAAACTGATAAACCTCCATTAGGTTTATAGGGAGTATACTTAAAGTCATACAGGCATGGACCTTCATGAAATCTGGTTTGGATTGTGGGTTTTTTTTTTTATCTTTTTCAGAAGATTAACTGTTCTTTCTTCCTTCTACTTTATAGGACCAAGCCATATGTCCTTCTATGTTCGAGCCCACAAAGGGTCAACACTTTCTCAGTGGTCTCTTGGCAATGGCACCCCAGTCACAAGTAAAGGAGGAGACTACTTTGTCTTTTACTCCCATGGACTCGAGGCCTCTGCATGGCAGTTCTGGATAGAAGTGCAGGTGCACATTTCCCAGCATTCCTTGTTTCATTGAATTCCCAGGTGGTATTTAGCAAGAACGTTGGGTTCACTATTCTGGCTTCCAAGAACTAATTGATTTTCTTTGGCAGGTCTCAGAAGAACATCCCGAAGGAATGGTCACTGTCGCCATTGCTGCCCACTATCTATCTGGGGAAGACAAGAGATCCCCTCAGCTGGATGCTCTGAAGGAGAAGTTTCCAGATTGGACATTTCCCTCTGCCTGGGTGTGCACCTATGATCTCTTTGTGTTTTAATCTTGTGGATGAGCTCTTAAGTACATGCCCAGCGGATACTCCATGTGACATGGTTTCTCCCTATGTTATGTGGATGTTTGTAACGTAAGTCAACGAATTTTAATGAGCATATGTTCAAAGAGCTTTCTGGGTTAACACTTTTCAAGGCCAAGCACTATAAGGGTTAAGCTGTGGCACAATGATGCATGGCCTGTTGACACTCGAAAATGCCAGTTTTCCAGCTCATAAGTACATGTGGGTACTGCCACTACACACACGTCATTTTATGTGATCTTAAGGACAAAAGCCAACAAACCACTCCAATAGCTGCCCCTTTAGGATCAAGAAAGAAGTACACTGTCACACTGTCAGACCATCGTTAATGAGATAAAAGTGGTTTCCAATTTAAGCCCCAAGACCATTTGTCGTATTAGTGGATGGTGGGTGAAATATCACTCACTGGGGTAATGATTCCCCTTGAGACTATAACTCTGTGTGGGTCACTGAAGTGATTGCCATAGGGCTGGGGGAGAAGCCTTGCACTTTTGAGGCTGTAGCCTGTGCTTAGCTGTTTCTTCAGGCAGCCTCTCGAGTGTGCTTTGTCTCTGTACTGAGGCCTGGACCCCATGCTGAGCTGGTGACTCACTGTCCTGACAAGTGGACACTCAGATCCATTGCTGTGCTGTTTTCCTGAGGTGGTTTTCTATGCCTGTTTTCCTCTGAAACATGTCTGTTACCTCTCTCCATCTTACCAATTTGAAAATGAGAATATTTGGCCATAGAGCCCTCTTGTTTTCATAGGTTCTTTTGGTTCAGAATATTGTTTGTGCCAGTATGTGACCTTAACTTCCTTCCTCAGAGCACTGAACTGACACCTGGGCTATTCTGGGGTAGAAGGCAGGCTGGGAGTAGTGGGCATTTTATAAATATTTATTCTTTTGTTTCATACAAGTCTTGTGTTATACAAGCTTAATCCTTTATGGCATAATCTTGTTATGTCGTCTTGTCTTCCAGCCAGTTGAACAGATTTTCTCAGTAACTTTTACTATACAGCAGGCTGGCTTTCCTGAGACTTGAGGTTGTGGTTTATACTGGAATAAGACCGCTGTACCTGTAGGTGGTTCAGATCCTGCATAATGGCAGCATGAGGACTTAAAGGTAGTTTTCATTTTGAAGATGGCGATGTAGCTTTTAAGATGTATCATAGCAGTACTTCTCATGGCTTTTTGGTCCAGCAGTGAGGGGGTTGTTGAGATCAGTGGTAAACTGCAAGCTTTCTTTTTACCGTCAGGAAGTGTAAAATGTTAGAAGGCACAGTTAAAAAGGGGTAGCTAGATTTATCTTAGATGATGGAGGAAATGAGATAAATGCTCTTGAAAGGTGGCCTGTGGATCTATTTGAAGAGAAAGAGCACAGTAAGGGCCGGGCGCAGTGGCTCAAGCCTGTAATCCCAGCACTTTGGGAGTGGGTGGCGAGGCGGGGGGATCATGAGGTCAAGAGATCGAGACCATCCTGGTCAACAAGGTGAAACCCCTTCTCTACTAAAAATATAAAAAATTAGCTGGGCATTGTGGCGCGTGCCTATAATCCCAGCTGCTCAGGAGGCTGAGGCAGGAGAATTGCCTGAACCCAGGAGGTGGAGGTTGCGGTGAGCCGAGATCGCGCCATTGCACTCCAGTCTGGGTAACAAGAGCGAGACTCCGTCTCAAAAAAAAGCACAGTAAGTGTGCAATGCAGGAGGAAAACGTCCTTAGGCTGCTTGTCTAATGTGTATGATGTGCTTTGAAAATTCTGCTCCTCATTGCCTGCCCAATCTGTGATTCCTTAAAAACTAACTGGGGCCATGTAGATAGCAGGGCTGCAACCAGAGATGAATGACAACATGTTGGGCTGTCACATGCATCAGCACTGCACACTGGAGTCATTGCTTTTTCTGGACTTTGTATAAATTTGTCTCAAGTGCTTCAAGAATATGGCTCCTACTACGTTTATCTGTCAGGTAGCACATAAGGTTTGTAGGGTTTATATCTTGTACAGAATCACAATAATGGAGAAAAAGTAATGATTAATGAATTTTAAAATATGGGCCTATTTTGCGTCCCAGTGCTTAATCTGATACAATCAGTGTTCCCTGTAATTTCCACCTACCTACTTTAGAAAGGATGCCTTTACTGTTTTTCAGTAATAAATTATCTGTTTTCCTTTTGCCTTTGGGTTATTTCCCTGTGTAAACCATTGTCTTTTGTTTTGGTTTTCTTTAGCATTATGAAGCTTTGCTATTGTACAAGGTCAATAAGATGCTCACTAGTCTCAGGGCTTGTGTAACATTCTGGGAGGTTGTTTTAATGCCAGAAATGGTCAAGTAATTATCGAAAGTATTTATGGCTCTGTTAAGCACACAGTTTGTCACATTGGAAGATGCTGAGATTAAATTTTTTCTTAAAGAATATCTGATCATTTAATTTCTAAGTCTTTTCAAGCTCTAACACAGTCACTAACAAATGCATTATTTTCTGCAGAATTTAAATGTTAGTAGTACAGTACTGCATATTCAGGGCAAATGTGTGAAGAATTATGATTTCACAGTAGTTCGTTCTTGTGTTTGACCTAAGAATGATTGTCACATGAAGTGTTTGTTTCTACAGTTTACTATATATATAAACAAGCATGATAGGATTCCTAACGATATTACTACCGAGGGAGCCACAAGCCAGCCTGCTGATTCAGGAAGCTGTAGGAGTGTTTGTCTGTCAATTTCTTATCACTGGTTTGCTGACTTACTGAGGATTAATTGTTGCCTTACAATGTTACTGAAATAAACTTTTTAATATACTGGTTGGTATCTTTTTAACAGAAAAACAGATCTGTGTTCTTATGTATCCCCATTTTCAAGGGTTATTCCATGTCCACAGAAACGACCTAGATGGCTCATGAGAGCAAGTAACATGGAAATGTTTTCTTCAGTTGGAATCCCTTATCTTGGAATGAAATGGTACTTCTAAATCTCACAGAAATTATTAGGTAACTATTGAGCTTAAGCATATGTAGGAGTTTTAAAAAATCATCCCCATTAGCAAAAAAATATCAAAGGGCAAAGGGTGTTCTTTTGGGGGAGTGGGGAGTAAGGGTAGGAGGGACAGAAGAAATTGTCCTTCAGCCAGAGTGACCCATTGCTTATTCTCATCTCCACTGAAGGAAAGGGCGCCACCACTCACCAAAATAGAGCATGAACTTTTGAGTTCAAAGATACCTATCTGTGCACGTTATTTAAGCTTTCTGAATAAATTCTCTCAGAAATAGTTGAATACAAGGTGAAGCAGCTGAACAACTTCTATCCTGTTATTGGCCCTAAAAGAATAATTCTCTTCTTGGCCCTTCTTCTTTTAGGGCCAATAAAGCCAAGATGCAGTTATGGCTCTTTGTCTTTTTTTAAAAATAATACTTAAGGAGTTTTGGGGTATATTAATGCATTTTTGACCCTTCTACTTTCATATTTGATTTGTAAAAATATAACATTGATAATTTCTTTTCTACAATTTGGCTCTACATCATAACCAAAAGAAATTTATGCCACGGACGCAAGGTTGGCTTAAAATTAGAAAATTTAAATTAAATTTAAACAAATTAAAATTAGTTTGTTTTCATCATGGAAGGGTTCTAGATTTTGGTTTTGGATTCAAAACCCTTCCAGGATGAAAACACTCAACAAACATACATTGCATCTATTGAAATAGTCAATGTGGGTTTTGTCCTTTATTAAAGACAAACTATACATAAGGGAACATTTTCAACCAGATAAAGGCTATCTATGAAAAACCCCACAGCTAGCATCATAATTAGTAATGAAAGCAAACTTCTTCCTAATATCAGAAGACAACAAGGATGTCCACTATTGCCACTTAATAAGCATTGTACGGGTGGCTCTATCCAGGACAGTTTGTCAGGAGAAAGAAAAGGCATCCAGATGGAAAAGGAAGAGTTTAAACTATCTCTGGTTGCAAACAATGTGACCTTCAATACAGAAAAGCCTAAGTAATCCATGAAAAAGAAAAGTTCAGTGTTGCATGATGCAATGTCAATATATAGAAACAACTGTATTTACATATGCAATCCAAAACCAGAAAATTCCACTTTTTTACAATAGCATTAAGAATAAAATACTTAGGAATAAATATAATAAAAGTATGAGACTTACTAAAAACTATAATTCATTGTTAAAAGACATTTAAAACCCAATAAATGGAAAGATATCTCATGTTCATGGACTGGAAGGCTTAATATGGCAATATTTTCCGTTCATGGACTGGAAGGCTTAATATGGCAATATTTTTTTTCCATATTTATGTCATGAATACAGTCCTTATCAAAATCTCAAATGCCTTTAGTTTAGCAGGGAAATTGATAACCTGATCCTAAAATTCACATGGGAATAGAAGGGACCCAGAATAGCCAAAACAGCCTAGAAAAAACAAACTTAGTACTCCCACTTTCAAAATTTCCTGCAAAGCAACAGAAATCAAGGCAATATGGTATGGGCACAAGAAGAAATTACAGATCATTATAATATAATTAAGAGTATGAATAAACCCATACATCTATACTTGATTGATTTTTGACAATGGGAAAAAAATATTTTCAATAAATGGTACTCTGACAGTAGCCACGTTAGAAGAATGAAATCACATCTTTTATACCATATACAAAACTTAAAACGGATCAAAGACCTAAATGTAGGAGATGCAACTATAAAACTCTTAAAACTTAGGTATAAATATTCATAACACTGGATGAGGCACAAGCAACCAAAGAAAAATAAGTTTGACTTAATCCAAATGAAAACCTGTGTTTCAAAGGACACTATCAAGAAAGTGATTGTAATCACATGGTGATGACACTCAGAACCTAAATCAGACTTCTGTTGTATTCTTACCAATTTTTTTTTTAGCAGTATTAATGGGTACATTTTAGAGTCTTCTATTTTGTGTGGAATTTTATCTTCCCCTTCAAATGCTGTAATTAACATCACTTTAAAAAAAAAAAAAAACTTGAATATTGAAACCTAGGGGAAAAAAGTGAAAAGAAAGCCAACAGAATGAAAAAATATCTGCAATTTATATATATATATAAAATAGTATCTAGAACATAAAGAACTCCAGCAAATGAATAATGAAATGACCTAAATAAACATTTTTCTTCAAAGATATACAAATGGCTAATCCTACAAGAAGATGTACATTAGCCACTAGGTAAATGAATATCCCTATGATGAGATACCAGTTCATATACAACTTTGGATAGCTACCGCCAAAATAACAAACAACATGTTTTGGTGCCAAGTTAAGAAGTGAGACCAAAGTCCATATACTGTATGTTTCCATTTATATGAAATTTCCAGAATGGGCAAATCCATGGAGACTGAAAGCATATTTAGGAAAATGGAAAAAAGTCAAAGTAATTTTTAATCCCACTTATTAGAAATGACACCTAGGTTCCTCTATACTTACATGTAAAATTTTGTTTGCTTGGTGGGTATCTTACGGTATACATAATTTTCTGTCATTTCTTCATTATATTTTGAACATTTTCCATGTCATCGATATGGACCATTTCCACCAATAGTTTACTGTCAGGCATCTAGAATGTTGCCAGCTCATGACGTTCCCATTCTAAATCTACATACAAACAAATATTTTAAATAAATCGGTCTGAATTTCTAGTTATTTCATAAGGAAAATTCTAAGAAACAGAATTATATAATGAAAAGATAATTTTCGTGGCTTCTGCTGTCAACCTGAGATGAATAAACAAAAGTTTTTGTAATGGTTTTATTGCCCTTTTACAAAGTGGGGAAAAATACACATTACAGAAATAGCAGCAACTTTAATTACAAGCAAAGGTTGATTTTATTCCCATACCCCAATGACTTCCTGTTTTGGTTTCAGCAAATAACTTATTAATAAATGCATCTAGTAAACCTCATATAATTATATTGAATATTTAAATTCATTGGCTAAAATTATGGCTTAAACAGTTGATAAGTGAACCAAGCAACACAACAAAATAAAAATGGAGTTATAAAAATTAAATTATATAACAAATAAATACCAAATTTTCTGTAAACCTGCCAAATTTCTTGCTGTGGGACCTATTTCTATTAGTTGAAAAAAGAATATTTTATTAAAAAAAAAAAAGATTCATGGCCTAACCCACAGGAATACAGTTAACTTACTGGTGCCCTGCTTTCAAGAATGTGAGATGAACTCAGTAGCACAGTGTTTTATTTAAGATACTTGAGAAGATCACAGCTCTTTATAATGGTAAATCATTTTTATTGACTGAATATTCACACCAAACACAAAAGCAATGCTGGTTCTTCTCCTTAATGGACTACATGACAGGAGAAGAGAGTTCAGTTTAAGTTTCTTGCTGGGCTGCATGTACTCACATGCAAAACATTATCTTAAGATTCAGGGAAAGGTGGTTTGAAACAAAAATTTAAATAAAAATAGCACCAGAAGGACCAGGTACCAATAATCACATACTCCACCCATTTGGGAGTTTTATTTTGTGAAATTATTGCACTTGTAATGTAAAAATAAATGATAGTATATTAGCCAACTCAGTAATTTTAAATACTTTGAAGAATTCTGAACTAAGCAGTTTCAAAATGGTTTTGAGTTTCTCTTCAAAGGAAACCTGGTTAAGACAACTAAATCTAGCCATTTACTTTAAAAAGCAAGGAGACAGGACCAAGTTTTGTTTCTAAACTACAATTGCACTATGAGAAAAGAGGTTGTTTTAGATAGTGGTACGAATTTGGTCGACATCAAATACATTGATATTATAAAAATAAACAAGGTTTTTGTAAAAAATAACATTGCATTCCTTGTTCAAATTGCACAGTACAAACAAGCTGTCTAAATTAATACTGTTATAAGGTAATTAGAATTACATACAGTGGATGTGTGTTTAGTCTAAAGCAATTAAGGAGTATGCAGTTCTGTTTTCATAATGTATGAAAACAAATTTAAGTCATTTCTAGAAGTACATAAAATATTTTAAGTTTACAATGAAGAATGCATTTTTTACATACTAATTTTTAGTAGCCGTGATAATACAGGATTCAGCAGTCTATTTACATAGAAGTCCATCTTTATTCAATTTACAAAAGCAATAAATAAAACTACATTAATTTGCACAAAACCTGCTGCATTTCAACGATCAGTGTGATCATTTCCATTACTTCATGACCAACCCAAAAAATCTGTCTTCCTCAATTTGCAAAGAGGAGCAAGCCCTATCTTTGTATCTGTAGACATGCAGAATCCAGCATTAAAAGCTTACAAATTATAATACAAGCCCTAAAAATATGAACAGTGCCTTTGGGTATATTTACACAAGAGTATTCACAAAAAGATACTGTTCCTTAATACAAAATTGTTTAGTGGTATCTAACAGCATAATTGAGAATAATCCCTCAGACCTGTGCCCACACTGATCTAATGGGAATCAAGCTTGCTAAAACAAGCACAACTCACAGGTCAATAGCTTCCATCAATTCTGGACTGGGATTTAATGGGCTAGTAAAGCCAAGGATAATGTTTCTATCACACTGGCACATACTGTGTTCCAGGGTAGATATCTATTCAGGAGGACTGATTAAGGAGTCCAGTGAGCTCTGTCCAAGGGAGCAAACAGGTAGGTAGCTTAAGTACCTGATAAACTAAAGCAAGCACCTTAGCATTTTTTTAAAAAAGCAGTCTGGACATAACGCAGAACCAGGAAACATAAGAAGCTGTTAAGTAGTGAAAAAGTAAGCTCACCTAGGACAA